CACTCGCTCTCTCTCTCTCTATCTCTCTCTCTTGCAAGCACATGCACTCTCTGGCAATTAGAAGAAAAGAGGAGAAAAGAGAAAGACTAGAATCAGTGCTTTGAGAAACCTGGCAGCCCACTTGGATGGGGGAACACAGGAACCCCAGGCCCCTGTCCTAATAGCCAAGAGTAGCCCAATTTTCTGGACTAGCAACCAGACAATATCCCACCAGTGAGGGAAGCCTGGCCCCCAGCTCTGACTGGAGGGAGAACGTGCTCTGCCATCTTGGTCTCACGCCTTTGTCATGATCACATTCGATCTGGATTTCCAGATTTGTGATCTCTAGTTCTTCCCATCAGGATATCTATTACAATTTCCTTTCTCTATTTATTCAACACCCCTTAATGAAGTACTAATTACGTGTGGGGCATAAGAGACCTGGAGAGGACTTGGGATTTTAGGAGCCTTTGTCTTTTGAAGGTTTGGGATTCTTTCCTGTAATTGTGTACAAAGTTTTCAGGCCTGCACACATCAGTATTTTTCTGGGGTCCTTCACTTTTATCAAACCTGTTACTGTAAAACAGTTAAGAATCACCAGAGATGGCCAGCCTGTGGCATGACGGTTAAAGTGGCTGGATCCCACATGGCCGACAGCGCAGCTGAGCCCCAAACCTAGCAGCTTGAGAAACGTGCCAGGTGCATGTGCCTGCGTGACCAAAATCCTGAAAGGACGGAGAAAAGGAGAAGAAATTTTGGCATGACCATGCCCCACGGCAGGTGCTATTTCACTTCCCGCCCTCCCCACTTCTGTCCATCTCTTGCAAAATTGAGCAAAAGAACCACCACAGTGGGTGTACACGAGAACTTCATGTCTCTGTTGTCCTGGTCAATGACCTCATCTTTCTTTTTTTCTTTTATAAAGAATTATTTGTTTAATTTCATTTATTAGTGTTTTGTTTTGTTTTGCTTTGCTTTTATTGTTTTTTTTTGTTTGTTTGTTAGTTTGTTTTTTAATTTGACCAGACAATGACAGAGAGAAAGTGAGAAAGCAAGCTGCCAGGTCCAGGACTCGAACTGCAGTCAACCATGTGGGAATCCAGCACCTTCACCACCACATGACCTGCCAGCCCTCAGTGTGCTCATCTTACCCATCAAGTCAAAAGCAGGGGGTTGATGGAACATGAGCCATGAGGCATCTCTGGTATTTTCCAGAGAGCCTCAGGAAGCTATGCCTGCCAGGCCAAATCCATGCCCTGCATGGAGGATTCTGCCTCAAGCACTGACATCCTCTGGTGTGGTGACCTTGAAGGTGGGGGCCATGGGTATGTCAACAGACTGTCCCCTCAGTCCCAGGAAGGGATAGATGCTAGGCCACCCCCAAGATGCTTTTGCTCAACTCTGCTAGTCCCTCTGACTAGTGCTCCTGCAGAGGGTGAGGACTGAGAATTTCTTTTTTTCTTTTTTTTTGGAGAGGTTTTTGCTATAGGGCGTGTGCACTTGCCATTAAGACAGAGAGAGACAGAGATAGAAAGTGAGAAATCACCCCCCAGGGAGATGGCCATGCCGCAATCCCTTCTCCTCCATTCTCTCGGGATCTTGGGCACACACACACACGCGACCGGTGTGAGTTTAAGCCACCGGGTCCGGGACTCAGACTGCGGTTGGCTACATGGGAGTTCAGTGACATAGCCATTACGCTGCTGGTCCCCCCTTTTTTCTTTTTTTGAGAGTCTGACCCTGCCCACTGCCCTGAGGAACCTTGTGGCCTTTGAATGGCTGTCTGGAAATCACTAGTTATGTTGTTACTCCACTGAGCTCAGGTGACACCTGCTATCCCTCTGCTGCTCCTGTGAAAGTGGCTTTGCGTAAGGATGGCCTGGGGAATGCCTCCCCTGAGAACCTTGGTGTGGGCTTAGGGTGCTATTTGATACAGGAATGCAGAATGTAATCGTTGCTAGTTGGAGGGACTGGGGCAGATGTCATTGCAAATCTCAGAACGAGGCTCAGGGCTGCCCACGTGCAGAAACAGCACCTCGCTGGCCTGCTGTGTATGTGAGGATGTGTGTGTGCTTGAGAGACTTGCCACAGACACCATGCTGAGTTCCGTTCTTTCTGCCCCTGTAGAGAGAAGACACGGTTCCATGTGCAGACCTGCTCCCTCTCCTGCATCGCCAGCCTCGAATCCCAGGACATCACTAGGACAGGTGAAAACAAAACCCTGTCTCAGCGGCCATAACTCTGCCAGCAGCACCTCAAAGCCATTCAAAACGCCCAAAGACAATCTACTTACCTCCAGCAGCAAACAGCACACAGTCTTTTCTGCAAAAGGATCAAGGGATAAACCATGGTGAGTGTCGGGTGCTGGCAGCCAGCCGCTGTTCGTTCTCGTTGCTTTTCCCTGTCACCACAAGAAATAGTGTATACTCGCTGGCTTTGTTCCTGGGCATCAGGTCCAGGCATTTGAGAAACGAAGAAGGACAGGGACAGAAAGCCAGAATGATGGAACGAGAAACCTGAACTGTAAGGAGGGACCAGCCCAGGTGGCACCGTTGGTGGCTTACTAGACTGCAGTGCTGAAAGCCCACGGCCAGCCAAAATTTATATCCTGGACCCAGTCAACCATGGTTTGGATCCCAGACCCAGTAGTGGGTGGTGCTTATGAGTGCCCAAATCCTGAGGAATTCGAGGGTTGGGGGAAGGAGATTGTGGCATGACCAGACCCTGTCAAGCATGCTTCTCCCCCAACACACACACACTGTCGATCATGCATGTGCCATGTGCACATTCTCTCTATCATAAATCATAAAAAATTTTAAATTAAAAAAGAAAAAAACATACAAATCTGGGCCAGCAAGTCCTGTGGAGGTTAAGGTGGCTGGATTCCACAAGGCTGCCTTTACAGTTCAAGTCACAGTTTGAAACTCACAGCAGGCACATGTGTATGCATGCCCAAAATCCTGAGAGGAGAATGGGGGAGAGGGAAGTGCAGCATGGTCATTCCCCAGTGAGGGGTGAGGGAGTGAGAGGCCATGCCCCTCACTTCCCCTGTCTGTCTCTCTTTCTCTCTGGCAAACACACTTACTCTAGAGAGGGAAAAAAGTAAAGAAAGAAGTGAAAATCCTAGGGGGCATGTGGAACTCTAAAAGTGCCCTGTGCCTGATGGGAATTTTTTTCTTCCCTTGAGAACTGAGCCAAGGTGTGTCTAAGAACAGGGCAGTGGGGAACTACTCCTCAGTTAGATGGTCTCCTCTCAATTTTCCACCCCTGTGAGGGGAAGCCCTGATGTAAATAATCAAAAACACAAAGTCTGCCCAGCAGGGAGTGAGACCATCGTCCTGCCCCCTGCGCTCCGAGACGGGTGCCCCACAGAGCCTCTCTGCTGGGAGCAGCCCGGTTCTAGCCCCTGGAATGGCTACCAGCCGAGGCAGGGCAC